AAGGTTTAAATGACTTTAAAAAAAACACATCCTGAGAACCCTGCATTCTGTTTCACTCTATTGTGCTCCATCTAGCAGTCGTTCAGACAAACCCACCCACAAATCCTTTTTGAAACTATGTAGTTTTCTGATCCTTAACCTCCTACATTTAATAACATATATTCACACTCTCAAGCTAAAACGAATGGCCCCACAATACAAAACACATTTTACATCATGATACACACTTATAACAATATATCTGTCTTATCAGTTATATTTTAATCAGAAATAGAAAAAGTATAAGTAGATGAATACTGAGGTGTGTATGTGAGTGCAAGGTTTATCAGAAATAGCGCATCATGGAAGGCCAGCACCGTGCTAGTGCTAATAAATGGTAGCCATTACTGCCCCTACCTAAGACTGACACACACGTTCAGACACACTAGTTAAGTAGCTGTGAAGAAATAAAGCAAAAAGACATGTAAACACTGTGAAAGAAGTGAAGCAATGTGTACTTCACATATAATCACACCTTATATGTGTCTTTAATGAACCGCCCACTGCCCTGAAGGCAGCTAGATTAAAGGTCACTGCAAAATTAAGTTGGCAAGGTCTGACAAATCTACCAGCGGATTCATCTCCGCAATTCTGCTCTTCTAAATGGCACTTGAGCATCGCATGCAGATTTAACTCATGGTAAATGTGGAAATACAGCCCACCTGTAATGTAAGTGAAGTCAAAAGAATCAGTACTGAAAACATGGGGAAATAATAAAAAAAAAAAAAAAAGAATAAAAAAAAAGCAAAAAAACAACAACCCATAACCAAACCAAAAGATAAAACAAACAAAACCATAACCAAAAACAAACAGCAAAGCAAAAGCTAAAGCAAGGCAAAGCAAAACAAAAGAAAATCAGATTAGTTAACCAGCTGTTCACCAATCTAACTGACTGAATCGGGAAACAGAGAAATACAACAATGAAGAAAGCACACAACAATGGTCCACCTGAAGGCGAGGTTGGAGATTGCCAATATAAGGTCTTCAAACCCAAAGCCAGAGGCTAATTTCATTCATTCAATCCTGCAATCTCGTAAGGGCACTTTTAAAACAACACATTCTAGGGGAGACTGAAAGAGGAATGAAAGAAGAAATGGGAGTTGGAGAAAGCTAAATGGAAGACAACATTAAGGACAATATTGATTCTGTCCTTCCAAGCATGACATCATGGTCAATAAAGCGCCTACTTTCCCTTAATGGCGTTGCCTGGGCGATAGGATGGAGCACTTTTCCTGAGTTGCCTCAACAACAATGCTGTAAAACAACACACCGTGCCCTTAAATTTACTTTTATAGCCAACAGAAAATAAACTTCCTGTCAATAGTAATTTCTGCAGGTCAGAGTGTTGGCCTTGTTGAGAATAACAGTATAAGAGGTACCGGCGTTGACAAGGACGTGAGACTCAAAGCTGGCACATCCATCACAAGCTTTAGATGAATAAAATGGAGTGAGTAGTTAAGGAACTTGAACTTTATAGAAGTAAAGCGTGGTGGTGCAACTAAAAGGTTTGGAAAAAGATGACCGCACATGATGCAGAGATATTAAAGGCAAAATGAATGTCACAGTACAGCCACCAACTCACAGACAGAGAACAGGACAAAAATGGAAAACTAAGCCCTCACCGGTTGAAGCTAATAGATCATCATATATGAAGAAATTAACTCCACCCTGACTCCCACTCCCTCGCTTTCATGCATGATTAATTGCTTTCACAAAAAAGAGAAAGAAATATGAAAAAATGTGCTAAGAAAAAGAGGCAAATGGATGCAGACAAAGCACAGACAGGTCTGTGCCCCAGTTTGACTGTTGATAAGACAAAATTCTCATTAACGCACAGCTTCTCGGTCTTGTACTGAATTAATCAAGAGTTTGTACCTCAGCTCATAAACTTCGCCCGGGCCGTGGCATAGGTTTCATTTGAACATTGTGGAGGATGCATTTCTCCCCATCCCCATAGAAAAATGAAAATCTAATGTTAAGTCAAAGGAGAACAAATGTTTTGAATAAATTATGTTCTACATTTTTTAAAACCTAACTTGAACTAGACTGGGCTCATTTTTAGTTTCATTTAAAGAGGTGCTGATGTTTATGTTCATGTATCTACGGTGCATGAATGAAAGAGAAACTTTTGTTTCGCTTGAACACCATTGCTACAACACGTTTTTTCTATGGATTTCGTGCTTAATAACTTGAAATGCTAATCGCGTTGATGTTGATATTAGCTTGTATACAGGTCCTTCTCCAAAAATTAGCATAATGTTATAAAGTTCATTATTTTCCACAATGCAATGATAAAAATTAAACTTTCATATATTTTAGATTCATTGCACACCAACTGAAATATTTCAGGTCTTTTATTGTTTTAATACTGATGATTTTGGCATACAGCTCATGAAAACCCAAAATTCCTGTCTCAAAAAATTTGCATATCATGAAAAGGGTCTCTAAACGAGCTATTAACATAATCATCTGAATCAATTAATTAACTCTAAACACCTGCAAAAGATTCCTGAGGCTTTTAAAAACCCCCAGCCTGTTTCATTACTCAAAACCGCAATCATGGGTAAGACTGCCGACCTGACTGCTGTCCAGAAGGCCATCATTGACACCCTCAAGCAAGAGGGTAAGACAGAAAGAAATTTCTGAACAAATAGGCTGTTCCCAGAGTGCTGTATCAAGGCACCTCAGTGGGAAGTCTGTGGGAAGGAAAAAGTGTGGCAAAAAACGCTGCACAACGAGCAGAGGTGACCGGACCCTGAGGAAGATTGTGGAGAAGGACCGATTCCAGACCTTGGGGGACCAGCGGAAGCAGTGGACTGAGTCTGGAGTAGAAACATCCAGAGCCACCGTGCACAGGCGTGTGCAGGAAATGGGCTACAGGTGCCACATTCCCCAGGTCAAGCCACTTTTGAACCAGAAACAGCGGCAGAAGCGCCTGACCTGGGCTACAGAGAAGCAGCACTGGACTGTTGCTCAGTTTTGCATGTCATTCGGAAATCAAGGTGCCAGAGTCTGGAGGAAGACTGGGGAGAAGGAAATGCCAAAATGCCTGAAGTCCAGTGTCAAGTACCCACAGTCAGTGATGGTCTGGGGTGCCATGTCAGCTGCTGTTGTTGGTCCACTGTGTTTTATCAAGGGCAGGGTCAATGCAGCTAGCTATCAGGAGATTTTGGAGCACTTCATGCTTCCATCTGCTGAAAAGCTTTATGGAGATGAAGATTTCATTTTTCAACACGACCTGGCAACCTGCTCACAGTGCCAAAACCACTGGTAAATGGTTTACTGACCATGGTATTACTGTGCTCAATTGGCCTGCCAACTCTCCTGACCTTAACCCCATAGAGAATCTGTGGGATATTGTGAAGAGAAAGTTGAGAGACGCAAGACCCAACACTCTGGATGAGCTTAAGGCCGCTATCGAAGCATCCTGGGCCTCCATAACACCTCAGCAGTGCCACAGGCTGATTGCCTCCATGCCACGCCGCATTGAAGCAGTCATTTCTGCAAAAGGATTCCCGACCAAGTATTGACTATTGAGTGCATAACTGAACATAATTATTTGAAGGTTGACTTTTTTTTGTATTAAAAACACTTCTTTTATTGGTCGGATGAAATATGCTAATTTTTTGAGACAGGAATTTTGGGTTTTCATGAGCTGTATGCCAAAATCATCAGTATTAAAACAATAAAAGACCTGAAATATTTCAGTTGGTGTGCAATGAATCTAAAATATATGAAAGTTTAATTTTTATCATTACATTATGGAAAATAATGAACTTTATCACAATATGCTAATTTTTTTAGAAGGACCTGTATAATATTATTCAGGCCAATATTCAATAATTTTCATGTTTATTCACGTGTTGTTATATGGTGTAGTAACTAGGGATGTGCCAAACGACTAATTTCATTAACGCTTAAACAGAAATTTTGAGTGTTAGTTGACATGTAGTTGCAAAGTTACTTATAGTTAGGAGAGTGTCTGAAGTGGACCATCAAAATAAAGTGCCACCTAAATGAAATTTTCTATAATTTATTATAATTTATTTGTTTTTATCATACATTTCGCCTGCATTCAAAGTGGATATGTATATGCTAATTTCTAATCATTTTATTTATTCATTTATTTTTTAAAGTAAAAAAAAAAAAAGTACCGGTACAAGAAATCAAACACATAAGGTTCAACAAAAGACCTAAATGGACTACTTGCACAACTACTTTCACGTTCTACTTATTACTTACTCAGGAGTTTACAGTAACAGCGTTCAGCGTACCTTCATTATAGACAGTTACTCATGAGAACGCAGATTATTACTACGTTTTATGGATGTCAATTGATTAAAACAATGAATCATGTTCTCTGCGTTAACATGAATTATCTTGAATCTGATGAATATTAACCGGCAACAGACCAGTGCTCGTCTTCTCATTAACAGTGTTTCTCTCTTACTGATTATATTTCATGCCTGTTGAGGTTACATTTTTAAATGAATTTGACTGGTAAATAGGATTGCTTGTGTGCGTTGGTGCTCTTATTCCAGTCTTTTAAATATTTCATAAGAATAAATAAATTTTTGTACTTATGTTATTCATCAGGTCTCACACATTACAGCATCGGTCACTTGCTTAGATGAGCACTGACACCCTGTGTTGAAATAATGACTTGTGTTGGATTAAAACTTTGTGTTCCATTGAGTTTCTCCTGTCTCTGAAAATGTCCAGATTTTTGAGTTTTTATAAGTGGCATTCAGTCAACTAGGTAAATATACATAACTGAAAATAAACAAGTTGTGCCATTTCAAACCGGAAGTGCATCACAAAGCTCAGTGCAAGTAGTCCATAGCAGACATTTTCAAAACTGGGTACTCTGTTCAATACTTTCTAAAGACACCAATTTCAGACAGGTGATCTGAGCTCTTTTAGTGACTGTTGGTAGAGTAAATGTGTGCACTGATAGTCACCGCTGGTTGAGTTCCTCTTGTGCCTTTCTCCTCTCTTCCCCCAGGCCTTTCTCCAGCTCTTCAGAGATCTTCCTTCTCAGTTCAAACTCATCCACTAAACAGAAGACAAAACATACACATTAGATGCTGAGCTACTGCTAATACACTTACTCCTGAGTGTTTGATTTTGTTGTTGCATGTCATAGGTCATAAAAAATGAAATGCCTTGAGTTGAATATTTTATTGTACACTTAAAGCTTCCGTAACATTTTAGTTTAGGGTCCAATTCTCACTATTAACTAGTTGCTTATTAGCATGCATATTACTAGGATATTGGCTATTTATTAGTACTTATAAAGCACATATTAATAATGCCTTATTCTGCATGACCATTTTCTACATCGCTAATCCTACCCAATACTTAATTACCTTACTAACTATTAATAAGCAGTAATTAGGGGTTTATCAAGGCAAAAGTCATAGTTAATAGTTCGAATTGGACCCTAAAGTGTGACTGAAGTTTCTTTGAGGCAGTTTGTACTTGTTTGTATAGAAGTTTGTAAGCAATATAGTGAGGTAGGATATTATTTTGAGCCCTCAAGACATCTCTGCCTTATGAGGCAAAGCAAAAAAAACAACAAAAAAACACTTTCAAACACACAAATCAAAGCTACACTTCTCACAACTTAGTGTTGATATCAACACTGTCACAGTCAAACATGTCAGTGTGTGTCCTGTTCTTTATCTGGATGGCTAATTGTCCGTGAAAGCACAGCAGAGATATAAAACGGACAAACTCATAGCCTGCAGGCGAAAAAAGCAGCAGTACAACAGCACTGCAGAGGCCTGGAGCTAATGCATGACAGGAAGTCCAAGTGTTACAGATGGAGATACAGGCTTACCGTTTGTGTAAACAACCAGCATTTGGTCTAAAAATAAATATATAAATAAATAAAAGTACTAAAGCAATCATTCCTCACAGACACGTCCAAGTCAAATCTTTTGTCACAAATCCAAGTCAAGTCTTTCATGGATGGCAAAGTCTAAAAGGAAGTATATGAGGTTTTACTTCAATAATAAGATCATTTTATCTTTAACATTAAGTACTTTTGAAATGAAGTATTTATTATTCACCAAGTAGGCAAGTGATGGATCATTTACCTAAAGAAAAACCTCAATGAACAAAGCACAAATGTCTTAACTTTCCCCATAGTAAATAAAAGTACTAACTATGGTAATCAAGATTTGATACACAATATATGAGAGAAAAACATATTCTTGCAGACATACTCTAAATATTAAAGATGACTAGAATAGAGATAGTCTCTAATTTGGAGTGAATAGAATAAAATGTAAAAAAAAAAAATATAAAATAATAATAAATCTAAATAATAATAAACAAAACTTTCGTGACGTACTAAGTGAGACTTTAGTTTCCGGTCCCCCACATCGGAGAATTTAATAGATTTTTTTAAAACATTGAAAACATTGTCAACAACTCTTATATGTATTTCTTTATTTCTTCCCTTATTTCTATGCCATTTTAAAGGCTCCTAATTTTGTTTTGGATGTCTCCAACAAATTTCGCCGGTTCCCGCCTCCATCTTCCTTGATCGGTTAACTTCTCTACAGAAACGCCTATTACCATATCTGAATTTCAGGCTTCCTCAGCCCTTGTATACACGGTGATATGAGCAGAAACGATGGTGTAGTTTTTTTTCCATATCAATTCCACCGCGTCCTCATACTTTTGAAGTGCATGCAAAGTGGATATGCTGAAAATAGTCTTATCGACATTTCGACAACACAAACTCTTCGCGGCCTCAGCGACAACTACAATGTTTGAGGGCGAGGGAATGTAAAAGGTCTGCAAAGTGCATGACAAATAAAGTAGTTGTCTTCTAAAAGAAATAATCGATTCTGAGCTGCCAAACGAGTCGTCAGCAATTCCACTCTACGTAACATTGTGATAAATTTGCATGATGTCAGCCTATTTCTTCATTGGCTTTCCGGGAACAAATGTCTACTTTGACCCGCCCGCCCTCAAACATTGTAGTTGTCGCTGAGGCCGAGAAGAGTGTGTTATCGAGATGTCGATAAGACTATTTTCAGCATATCCACTTTGCATGCACTTCCACTTTGGAAAAGTTTGTGTTGTCGAGATGTCGATAAGACTTTTCAATAAGACTATGTTCGATAAGACTACTTCCACTTCCACTTGAAGTGCATGCAAAGTGGATATGCTGAAAATATTCTTATCGACATCTCGACAACACACTCTTCTCGGCCTCAGCGACAACTACAATGTTTGAGGGCGGGTCAAAGCAGACATTTGTTCCGGGACATTTTTTCCTGGATTTATTTCAAGTGGAAGTGGAAGTGGAAGTGGAAGTGCATGCAAAGTGGATATGCTGAAAATAGTCTTATCCACATCTCGACAACACACTCTTCTCGGCCTCAGCGACAACTACAATGTTTGAGGGCGGGTCAAAGTAGACATTTGTTCCCGGAAAGCCAATGAAGAACATAGGCTGACATTATGCAAATTTATCGCATTGTTACGTAGAGTGGAATTGCTGACGACTCGTTTGGCAGCTCAGAATCGATTATTTCTTTTAGGAGACAATTACTTTATTTGTCATGCACTTTGCAGACCTTTTACATTCACAAACATCTATATAACACACTGCATGAAAGGTAATATTCGAAAAAAGCATTTTAATATATTCAGGAAAAGAAGACGTAGTGGCTGTCAGTAGTTTAAAGTGATGTTTTATAAGCAGCCGCCGGAAGGAGCAGTCAGTAAGGCGCCATATGGTTCGGTTGCGTAACAATGTTCATTTTAGAAACAATTTGAGACTGTAAAGCCAAGAGAGGAAACCTGTTGGGAGAGAAACACTTAAAAGTTATCACTTACACCAACCTCCTTCAAGACTAATGAGAAATCTTCCTGTTACCGTGACAATGCCGAAGAGGGAAACAAAATTAATTGCGGACGCTGGCAGAACATTTATCAAACAGCAGGGTAGTGTAATGGATACAGGCAGACAGGTGCTGTTTAACCTCAATCCCACTAGATACAGTACCATCAAATTAAAGATATGATGTAATAACAGAGATTCTTCACGGGTAACACATCTGATCTCCACCTGTAAAACAGGGCGATCCGATTTTTCTATATAACGGTTTCCCCAAACAACACAAAGGATCATTAGAGCATATTGTTAATATATATATATATATATATATATATATATATATATATATATATATATATGTATGTGTGTGTAAGTGTGTATGTGTGTGTAAGTGTGTACGTAAAAGCAACACTTTTTCATGTAACAATTCCAGTAAAGACTTATTGTAGGGTCACTTATTAAATAAATCAATAAATAAAGTTATATATTATTAGTTATATTTTTATAGATATATTTTATGTTATATTATAAATAAAATATATTACAGTATATAATAATAATATAATATACAAATATATGTATTGTATTTATATATTATGAAATATGTAAAAAAAAAAATTACTTAAATATACATATTCATTATATAAGGCAACTGGAATAGTGTCATTTTGGTATATGTGTGGTTTCAGTTGGATCTAAATTTTATCCCAAATTTAAATTACATTTAAGTGTAAACTTATTGATTTAATCAGGAAAGTAGCATGAATGATTCAAAAACAGATTGTATGCACAAATACATGCCTACACACGGTTAGTGAATGAGACCCCCTGTTCTCAGCTTCTCAAAAAAGAAAAATGTAGTCCTCACACTCGTTCTTTTTTTTTCTTTTCTTTTCCATCAGGCTTAAGACTTTTCTACAGTGTCACACATTTATTCAGGCTCTAGGTTCCCATAATTCATTAATTTAAACTGGGCTTTAATATTTAAAAAGGATAAAGAAAGGAGTTCTGTGGATTCAAAGGATAACCAGCTCGTATGTTAAAACACCATCTGAGAGTCTTCCAGGGCTTTTTCGCAGGAGGTCACCGAGAAGTTCAGAACGACATTAACCGTCTGGGTGCCCGTGTCACTCCTGAGTGAGAACAGTAATGCTTAAAGATGAAAAACTCATCATCTTTAGATATTTCTCTCTCTTTCACGCCCTCCATCATTCTCTGCAGAAATTTTAAAAAGTAGCTTGCGGGCAGTCGGGAGAGAGATAACAGACAGAGACAAATTGCGTGTCTCATAAGATGTTTCATTAATCTTCAGACCTGAGAAGAGGAGGGGCTAATCTAAACCATTACACGTTCCTCACGATCCAACTTAAACGAGCCTCAACATCTTTCTACACACATGAAGAGACTCCCAGGAATATCAAACAATATCTTTCTTATCTTTCTCATCCTACACTTTCATCTTCTCAGGTTTCATGGAAGTTTTCAACATGCAAATGGGGCAAAAAGATCATTTCCTCAAGGAGCTACTTAATATGTAACGGAAAGAAATGTATGTTTATGTATGGCTGAGACAAAGAAGGATTTGTGTGCTGGTAATTAGAGCGTAATGGAAAACGGTGTGTGGGCCCTGCGTATGAATATTCATGGTACGCTGAGAACGTGTAGGAGGATCAACCTTGACCACTGTCTAATCACCGTGCGCAGGGACTCTGCCGTGATTTAGTGATGGACTCGATCATCCACAGCTTCTCTTAATACCTCCACTCGTGGGCGCACATAATCAATGTCCCTCATTAAGGTCACAGCCTTTGACCTCAGAAGATGAGCTGAGCCTCTTAAGGCAAGAAGAGCTGTGGCAAAGAGACACAATTTAAGAAGTGAGTCATCAGCAAATGGGGCACAGCATTAAGTTTAGTAGAGGCTTATTCAGTATGGTCATTTTTAATAGAGGTAGATACTAAGTTTCAGTAAGCATTGTTTGGTAATTGTTCACCATCATTTCACAAAAGAAAGACAGTCAAACAATATGAAGGTGAATAAATCGGGACAATTTTTTTTAGGGGGGAGAACTATTCTGCCCTAGCCTGACTTCATCATACTCATATTCAAGTCAAAATGTGAGTCTGATACTGCTCCATAGGGCTTTGATTATGAGGCTTGTCTTAACCGAACCAGGAAAAAAAAAACCTCTGCACTCAATTGGATAGACCTACAACCAATCAGAGCAACGCAGTAAGTGTTTTTTTATGAGCTACGCAAATTGTCAACAGACCTCAACTACACGCACGCTGGAAGAAGTAGTAAAATAATGAGTGTTGCTTCTTTTACTTGGTCCTCCATGAGTGCGACCAAAGGAGAAACCACAACGACCACAGGGCTTTCATTGCGTCCCATCTTCTTAGCGACCATCGGAGCCAGCTGATAAAATAAACTTTTGCCGAATCCCGTAGGAAGGACGGCAAACACATCTTTCCGAACGACAAATGCCTTGATTGCAGTTCTCTGTTCATCTTTTAAAATGAATGATCTGTCGATTTGTTTTACAACACGCAATAGCGGAATCTATACATCTCAATTCTCCAGCTGCAGTCATCTCTGAGGGAAACCAGTTCAACCCAAGCGCTCTTTGATAACGTGATGATTACGTAACTGCAGATCATCTGTCCATCATCGTATAAAGCCCGCCCTGGCAATTTGATTGGCCCGACTAATTCTGAACCGATCATAATTACTCCTCAATGGATCGAGTCCAGACCGAACTTCCCGACCAAACAATGTTGTGGGCGGGGTTCGGGCTGGCATCCAGGCTAATTCTGCCCTACAAAATGCAGAAACTGCACAATTTGTCTAAAATTATGATCAAAATCAGGTCTCAGACCACAATCCGTACTGTGACAAACATGTTCGCCTCAACTATGCTAAACTTTTTGCAATGCTATATTACTTTTTTTCTAAAAATTAAATAAGCCTTTAAAAGCTTAATTAAATAAGCTTAATTAAATGCTGTATGCAATAGAAAATAGAACAAGAAATACAGAAAATAACTATGTTAGCCTAATGACACAAAGTTCATTGTTTAATTGCTTTCAAAGATTGCAACATTATTCAAGACAATAAAACCTGGAAAAACTGAAAATCTATACTTTTCCCTCAATAAAACATTAATAATTATTATTATTATTATTATTATTATTTCAGCAAGTGACAGCTGTATAGAAATGTAATGTTCTATACAGCAGTTTTTCAATTAATAAAAATAAATATCAAAATAAATAAAAAAATACATGTATTTATTTAGACACATAAGCATATACACTCACCTAAAGGATTATTAGGAACACCATACTAATACTGTGTTTGACCCCCTTTCGCCTTCAGAACTGCCTTAATTGTACGTGGCATTGATTCAACAAGGTGCTGAAAGCATTCTTTATAAATGTTGGCCAATATTGATAGGATAGCATCTTGCAGTTGATGGAGATTTGTGGGATGCACATCCAGGGCACGAAGCTCCCGTTCCACCACATCCCAAAGATGCTCTATTGGGTTGAGATCTGGTGACTGTGGGGGCCATTTTAGTACAGTGAACTCATTGGCATGTTCAAGAAACCAATTTGAAATGATTCGAGCTTTGTGACATGGTGCATTATCCTGCTAGAAGTAGCCATCAGAGGATGGGTACATGGTGGCCATAAAGGGATGGACATGGTCAGAAACAATGCTCAGGTAGGCCGTGGCATTTTAACGATGCCCAATTGGCACTAAGGGGCCTAAAGTGTGCCAAGAAAACATCCCCCACACCATTACACCACAACCACCAGCCTGCACAGTGGTAACAAGGCATGATGGATCCATGTTCTCATTCTGTTTACGCCAAATTCTGACTCTACCATCTGAATGTCTCAACAGAAATCGAGACTCATCAGACCAGGCAACATTTTTCCAGTCTTCAACTGTCCAATTTTGGTGAGCTCCTGCTAATTGTAGCCTCTTTTTCCTATTTGTAGTGGAGATGAGTGGTACCCGGTGGGGTCTTCTGCTGTTGTAGCCTATCCGCCTCAAGGTTGTGCGTGTTGTGGCTTCACAAATGCTTTGCTGCATACCTCGGTTGTAACGAGTGGTTATTTCAGTCAAAGTTGCTCTTCTATCAGCTTGAATCAGTCGGCCCATTCTCCTCTGACCTCTCATCAACAAGGCTTTTTCGCCCACAGGACTGCTGCATACTGGATGTTTTTCCCTTTTCACACCATTCTTTGTAAACCCTAGAAATGGAAAATCCCAGTAACTGAGCAGATTGTGAAATACTCAGACCGGCCCGTCTGGCACCAACAACCATGCCACGCTCAAAATTGCTTAAATCACCTTTCTTTCCCATTCTGACATTCAGTTTGGAGTTCAGGAGATTGTCTTGACCAGGACCACACCCCTAAATGTATTGAAGCAACTGCCATGTGATTGGTTGATTAGATAATTGCAATAATGAGAAATTGAACAGGTGTTCCTAATAATCCTTTAGGTGAGTGTATATATATATATATATATATATATATATATATATATATAATAAAAGATTAAATGTTTTAGCAAGTTTCCTTAGTTTCAAAGGGGGTATGATGAGAATTACAGGGTTATGCTATTCACTGTCATTGTATTACATAATCCCAGAACACATATTTATAGTGAACACAAAAGTGTTTCTGTCATCATTATACCAAGGAAAGCACAAACCAGCAAGAAAAACGAACACGTGGGAAAGAGAAACCATGAGACAGATTGAGATGTAGGGAGTTTTAGATAGACGGATAGAGAAAAAACAAGTGTGTGTGCGAGCCTCCATGGTAGAGCTCATTAAGCAGATCTGTGTCTCATTAACAGGGAGCTGTCTCGTTATGTGTGATGCGGGCGTCTCTTTTTCCCTCTCTGTAAGTAGAGCCAGTTCATATAATGTCAGCTCCAGCCCACAGACTCTGCAGGTTACACTACTATTATGGGCCGAGAGGGCGCACACAGAAATTTTCACACGTATTTGAGCTGACAGCCACTGTTTCAATACATATTAGATGAGCTTAATTATGTGGAGGTGGGAGCAAGGGAGCTCACAGCTCAGAAAAAAGACAAGACATGGAGGAAACGTCCAAATCCATGTTTAGCATATGCTGTTTGACAAAAGGATACATTGTGTGTTAATGTTATAAATACACAATGTGTTTAAAAAAACATTTTGCTGCACCAGCCCCAAAACAGGAAATGCATCACTCTGCTATAATGACTGTCCCAAGCACCAAACCCGGTCTTAAATTCCGTACTTGATCGGGACTTCTAGGCCCTGTTTACACCTGGTATTCACAAATGGACGATGCTAAATACAGGTGTAAACTGGGTCTAAAGCGTTTTGAGTTTTTTAATCCCAGATATTTTAGCAAAGCTACATAAATCAAAGAAGAAACTTACCAAACGTTATTGTGTACATTATGTTATCAAAAAATTGACTTTGAGCACAGCAAGAGCATCATTTGGGAAAGATTTATAGTTTAGCCGAAAGTCATGTGACTCACGTTCAGTAACTGAAGAAAATGTCAAAGAATTGTGGGTTCTTTCCTAACAGGCATCTCAGTTATAATCGCTCAAAACTGCATCTAAACTTCCGATTGAAAGATCTATGAACAAAGTCTTACTTGCTAATGAGAAGCAAACCGGTTGCAAATGTGATCGGATCAACACACTTTTGGGAGGACATGCTGTTCGAGGTACCTTGGAGGCTGAACTGGCTTAAGTGGAGTTCCTAATTACAGCATTGATTCATTAACTCTATTACAAGTTAGAATTAATCGTTTCATTAGCACTCAGGCACAAGCTATGAATCATAATATGGAAGGATCCAGGCCCACTCACTAACATCAAGAGGACTAAACTTTTAGGAAAAAATAAAAAATACTGTTAATCTAATTTTTAAAAATCCATATGGTAGTAGATTAAATAAATCTCAATCATACTGGAGTCAGCAGGTGTGCATTTCTGATTGATGTGCTTCGTTCTTGCAGAAAAAAGGAAAATACACATTCAAAAATCATTTAAACAGATAGTTTAGCCAACGACTACTCATCCTAATGTCCTTCCAAACCCGTAAGACTTTTGTTCATCTTCGACGCACAAATGAATCAATTTTTATTGAAACCTGAGAGATTTCTGTCCCTCAATTGAACATCCATTAAAGCAAAACTTTGATGCTTCATAAAGACATCAGAAAAATAACCCATACAAACTGTGACTTGTAATCAAAGACTTCTGAGCATACATGGTGGCATTGTATGATGAACAGATAACATTTAAGATACCTTTATGAACTTTTAGAAGCATTCTTGAATATTTGATGGAATTAACTTTCAATAGAGGGAAAAATATCTTCATTTGTGTTTTGAAGAAGAACAAAAGTCTTATGGGTTTGGAACGACATGAGGGTGAGTAAATGACGGAATTTAGATTTTCAGATGAACTTTCTCACTGTCCCTGCCACATTATAATGCATTAACATTTTTTTTATGATTCTGTACAACAATAACGACTACTGTGGATGTTTTTATATTCCAGAACACTTTATTCAAGGAAAATTGTGGCTCCACTTCACCCACGTACTCTGAAAGTGTTTAAGAGAAGTTTGAACTCCGTAGAATTACCCAGAATGACTTGATGCGTAATATTACCCCTTCACAGTGGTGTACCAACACATTCAAAGAGCTTACAAGATGCAATTTACCCGAGGAGTATCATTAACGCTCATGAATGACAGGCACTGAAGTGCACTGTGCAATATGTGTGAAACACCTCGAGTGTAATTCACGAGCAAACCACATGAACACATGTATGTGTGTCAGCGTTACGTTACAGAACAATCCAACTCACCGGCAGGAGGTGGTGGAGGAGAAGCCACAGGTTCGTCTACACTCGGAGGAGGGTGCGGGATAGTTTCAGCGGCAAAAGCGACAGGGGTGTCAAATTCAGCTGGAGGGGAGGGGGCGGTTATTTCCACAGGTGGAGCAGAGACAGGTTCAGCAGCAGTTTTAGTGATAGGACGGGTAGGAATGCTTTCTACAGGGGGAGGAGGTGTGAAAAGCTCAAAAGCAGGCGGGGCGGGGACAGAATCAGCAAGGGGAGGAAGGGGTCTGGGTTTGGAGGAGTGAGGTGGGGCAATTATTTCCACAGGTGGAGATGCTGTTATAAGCTCAGCTGTGGAAGCAGGTGGAGAAATGGACTCACCTGCAGGGGTTGATACAACACCCACTGATGCAGCTGGTGCTGCCTCTACAGGAGGAGGAGGAGGAGGTGCAGGAGTGGTCACTTGCTCAGGGAGTTTTACCCACTCTGGCAAGGGAGGAGGTGGAAGGGAAGTAACAGGGTCAGATGGAGGAGATATTGGCACCAGTGCTGGCAGAGGATCAACCACAGGGGGAGAAGCAGGAGGGGTTCTGCTGGGTGCCTGGGGTCTCGGTGGGCCTGAGGGTTCCCTCATGCGGTCGATGACCTTCTCTGAGAGCTGAAGAACACAAATGAAGGAAACAAATGTCAGTGTTGTGATCGTGACAATATTCCCGCTCATTCTCTAGTTTCAAACAGAAATGTAAAATAAATGATAAACAATGCCAGCTCATTAGAAATGGTCATTCTGCTTGAGCACTTGAGTAAAAGCACTTGTGTATGACAGCATTTTTAAGATGGCATGTCAAGTTTGTCTTATAAATATAGGCCTTATAGACACTAATATTTAAATAATAATAATAGTAAGTTGCTGGATTTCAATCAGTGTAAAATATTGTTTAGTTATAAAAAAAAAAAATTAGTTACTAGTTTCAGTCATTTAAAGGGATACTTCACCTCTGGAAAGATTAATGTGTATTTAAAATGGGTCATTTATGTAGAAGAAATGTGAAATTATTTTTTTAATTTGGAGCTTTCTAGACTGAGAAAAGCCAGAAAATGTATTTTTGACTTATGTGGATGAAAGACAACAACTCCCAGAATGCACTTGCTTCGCTGCCCTAGGAGGCCACGCCTACCGGTAACAGAGCGCAGTAGTTAAACAACAAGTCTAGGCTACTAGTGAGTCTCCGTGATGAGTCTGCCCGAAAATGTGTTTCGAGATCGCCCAAAATGTCCGGGATTCGGCTTTTGCGTTCTACAGTCGCCATTCATTATGTTTACTGTGGCGAGCAGGACGAGGCTAGGGCCGCGGGAGAACGGCGCGAGGCTGGTGGCGTGATTACCGATGAGCGACACCTGTGAGACGCACCAGTCTCGTATCTCTCATGGAGGAGCGGGAATTTTCTTAGCAATGTTAAAACGCACATCAACCGATCACTTGTTTAGCGTTCATGTAAACACTACATTCAGATTCACCAATCGGAATGAATTCAGTTAGATTGAAACAAAAGGTGTGCATGTAAACAATGAATGGCGACTGCAGAAAGCAAAAGCTGAATCCCGGACATCGACGGCCGGACATGTCCGGGAAAAAGAGGATGGTAACCCCTACTACACAGCTTGCTCCACAGAACAAGAGATGGCTGACACTATGTGTACATTCTGTGAGTGAGATCCCACCCTCTAATAGGCGGGTTGAAAACATGCGGAACAGCTCCTTCTACTGGCTGTAGTCTTTAGCCTCTGGCCAAAAAATCCTCCGATGACGCAAAATGACGACTTTTGCGTCATCGGAGGATTTTTTCCAGAAAAAAAATACATAAATCTCTCGTCTCAAGGGGATATGAGGGTGGAAAGCATGGTAATTCGAAAATACTACAGGTTTTTTACTAATACAAAGCTTAATGCTAAATCCTGAAGTATGCCTTAATTAAGTTCTTTAACTTCCTAAACATATTTTACTTAGAAGAATTAAAATATAATAATTGTGTGACTGAGTATAAGAAAGTGGATTTTTCGATAATTACGGTGGCCAAGAGAGCTCAACGCGCTTGCAACTGAAGAAAACGCATGCTAATAGAAAAAAATCAGCAAATTAAGAAAGCATCTTCATCAGTTTGACAACACATGTGCTGCAAATACTCACAACGCACACATGATCAGGATGTTGAAATAAACAAAAAAACAAACCTTTTAGGTCATCAACAACACCACTGACAAATAGACATTGAACAATAAGCATGTACCTGCCAGGTTACTCACATGTTGAGGTCACCTTGAAACATTTTCGTTGTGGTCTGTGCTATTTACAGCACATTTCTGTATTTGGTTGTGTTGTTGTGAGTATTTGCAGCACGTGTTGTCAAACTCATAAAGAAGTTTTCTTAATTTGCTGGGGTTTTTTCTATTTGCATGGGGTTTTTTTTCAGTTGCAGCGCGTTGAGCTCCCTCGGCCACCGTGGATAATCCTTAGTCAGGGCCTTCAACAGGGGGATTATTAACTTTTTATTAAAATTTGATCATAACAATAATAATAAAAATAGTAATCATAATAGTAGTAGTAATTAAATAGGCTTTAAGTAAATTAAAAAAATACATATTCATTCATCTGGTAGAGTATATATATATATATATATATATATATATGAATATGAGACTGTTCAAATGTATATATTATTGTAGACTAGGCTTGATATGCAAGACTCATATTTTTATATAGATTTATACAATTACAAGGGGTCTCTGTATCTCTTCACATAGGCTGAAGACCACTGCAGTAACTAAGTTCTCCTTTATGTAAACACTGAAAAACACCAGCACAAAACAAAACAGTCTCTAAAAAGCAAGTGTGAATAAGCTGCTTGTTTAAAAACAAACATTCAAAACAAATAAATATAGTACCAGTATCAACTGGCATAAACAGCTGTGTGAAGGGTGAGTGTTTAACCTATATGAGTTAAGGGGAGTTAATGGGAGTTATGGGGGGGAGGAGGGGTTGACATTGTAATGCTTGAACTGTAACAAGTGTCTGCTAAAGTAACTCTTCTTAGGTAGGCTTGCTTATAAATTGCATAACCTGTTTTCCAGCTTAACTCGGTTTTCTAGGTCAGCTGAAGTGAGTGTCCAAGGCAGTCAGGGACAGAATGTTTATCCAGTTAACGTTAGATAAGTTAAGACTGTTAACGTTAGATGCCTTCATCACGATCCCGCGCATGCATTCAAATCACAGCAGAGGTGAATTAAAGCCGTGCGTGATGTGCATTTGACAGGTGGAGGAGAACAGACATGAGTGCCACTCACCCTTATGCCCTTCACTATCGTTATGTTCTCATTTTCATCCGATTCAAAAGACACGCGGCGCGTGCTGCTGTTGGCTCCCATTCCTGGTCAAACAAGCCCCTGGTCTTTAACCAGCTAATTCATGTAAATCTGTTAAGTAGTTATGAAATGTAAAGACTTGACAGGTTGTTACGCGCGAGCACCAGGGCCGCACGTTCAAGTTTAGAAACACACAGCGCTTCCGCTTTTAGCCCCTCCCACCTGGCACTGGCGAAGAAAGACGACTCTCATTCGTTGAGCGCAAGTGCTTACTGTCTCTATTGGACAACATAAATGGAAGACACATGTATTGGATTTCAAAGAATAGGCCTATTTATTTATTTATTTCGGACAATAAGCATTTCAGATCTATTTTAGAGCATAATAATTATAAATAATTTGCTGCTACGATGACTTACAACAGGCTTTTTTGTGTTGCCTTTTAGTATAATCTAATAATCTAACAATCTAAACTGTAAATAATGTCTTCTACTTTAATATTCACCTATTTAATTTTAAAATTTCACATTTCAATTCTAGTAAAGAAAAACACAAGGACTTTTTAACCTTTATTAAATCTGTTCAAATAACAAGGGGGGGGGGGGGGGGGGGGGGTGTTTACAAAAACAAATACTAAAATATAAATAAAAATAAATAAATAAAACAAATTATAAAATAAATACATATTGCAAGTAGGGTGAATTGCCCTAATGTGGGACATTTTTTGCACTTTAGACTTCTGTGACATATTGCGATGTGTAACCAAAACATTAAATCCACACCCAATACCATTTTAAAAACCACAGTATGTGTCCTAATCAAATCAAAAGAGAAAATTCAGATAACCCATTCATAAGAGATATTATAGACATATTAGTGATCTTATTGCAAGTTGTCTGAAATCATCTGCAGCTTCCTAATGTGGGACAGTTGTTTCCCCAATATGGGACACTGAAAAATCTATGATAAAAGACCAAAAAATCACATTGACTCTTATTCACACAATCTTATTTTATTTTAGATTCTTCTGAAATCTTAGTTAGTAATTTTCTTGGTTATGAATGGATGAAACATGTAAAATAACAATTGTTTTAGTTGTATTATCCATTTCCAGTAAACCAGTATCACAATCCATAAACAAGACCATTATATCAGTTATAGTGATGAATTTGTAAAACACCTAAAAAATAAACAGAGAAACTTTGGACCAAAATAATTTGGTATAATTACAACTAAAAACTAAATGTACAATTGTTTCTGTTTCCTCTTTACAAAAACAGCATAATGGAGAAATCCCTTCTTTAATGATAAAATCATTACATGGATCATATCTATTTATTATTTTAAAGTGAGTTTCTTTGACTTATTTATTAGGAATTACATATTTATGTGCAAATAATGTCTGACCACAGATTCTGAAAAAAGGTCATGAAAATCCTGTTTCCATTTCATCAATGCCTTGGTGAAACTTTTTTTCTTTAGTTAAGATTTGTCTAATATAAACATTATTAATATTTTTATTACATTTTTAAAAACAAATCTTTAAACCATGCCCCACCACACATTTTTGACTCATTGAAGTACTGTCCCACATTAGGCTGATCATGCTGTCCCGGATTTGGAAACCACATTTCCTAATGTGGGACACTAGGAAATTTGATAAAAAAATATAAAATATATAGTTTATACACATAAAGTTACACTATTTTTTGATGGACAAACATTTCATAAGCATATTAGGCTAAAAAGTAGCAGGATTGCTTTGTTTAAAATCTATTTAACTCCTTAACATCAAATTTGTTAAAACTCTATGTCATTAACCTTCGGATGGTTTTCACACAAAGTGTCTCCTGTTTGATGATTGCTCCACCCTAAAATATGATTGGACATTTGATAGGTCATGTGATTTTGATCACATGGCACCACAGCTTTGTCTAACCCATAGTTTCACTGTCATTCATGTATTTTTGGGGGACCTACAAACACTAGACCTTAGGTGTCCCACATTAGGCAGTGTCCCACATTAGGGCAATTCACCCTAATTATAGAGAGCTTTAATGCGTTTCTTTTTTCAGCTGCTTTGAGGTTTGAAATAAAAAATTAAAATGATTTTGAAATGCTACAAAACTTGTAGCAAACTTGGAGAACTCTACATTTGTGTAAATAAATGTATAGATTTTTTTGAAAGATTTTTTTCACATTAAAAAAACCCATACTCAGCAATGCAATACTCAAAAGGCATTACATTCTTTTTTAACCATGCATGCATTCTGTCCCAAAACTGCTTAGCTGTAGAAAAGAAGTTCCTGAACTCCTCATGTCAAATGAGCTGTGTGGGCATTCTGTCCTTTAGTGGGTGGCTGTCTTTGTCTACGTGTCCTCAGGCGTCATCGTGACAACCTTTTATCCTGCACTAGGTGATGAGAAATAACCTAAGCCCAGTGTCATCAGCAAAGGACAGTAGATTGTTCAGAAATGATGGGCCTCTGAGGAAGCTGATAAGAACTTCTGGATCTGACTAAAGGCTCAGAGGAGCTAACGGAAAAAATAACCTCAGAGTCTCCGTGATTGTTTCCTTTTTTGAAGCGGCACAAAATTGGCCACTATGTTATCTCTGCTGTCCACGGACACATCAGTCAAAGAGGAGACCGCCAGATCGACCCTTTCCCACACAATCAATGCCCTTTCCTCCCTGTTTGTTACAGCAGAGATCGTCAGGAGATAGAGGGGAACAGGTCCAGAGCAATAAATCCTAGGAACAGAAAGCAATTAACAACCTTCACCTTTCGCTCCACATTGCTCCCATGGCTAATGTAGCCTACGTCTGATTTGTGAAAAAATCTTTCACATTCTTTTGAGTGTTTGAACTGGTTCTCAAAACTGGTCTTAACAATGATTCGTTTAAAATTAAATGTACATTATTACTTTTAGTGTATATTTTATTTATTATTATGTAAATGAATTTTTGTATTGTCTAATATGTGAATTATATTTATTATATATAGACTTTATTATCAAAACAGGAATAATAAACAGCAAAATTAAAAAATAAACAGCAAAATGTGATTAATTTTTTATAACTATAAGAACACAACATTTACAAGCAAAAGGATAATAGACAGAATATCCTGGGTTACAATACAATTCTGAAATGAACTACATAATAAAAGCATTTTGCATTATAGCCTTATACATATAAGATACAAGATATACATCTTATACATTTTAGACTATACAAGCAATTGAAATTCTAGTTCTTTGAAGAATCTTTCATCTTATCCACAACAACAATAAAACAAACAAAGTAGCCTATTTTTATTTATTTATTTTTTTACATTTATGAATGTAACATTTTGCAAGGAATAGTAATAAGTAAACCTATAGCTAAACTTAATACGAAAAGGGTCAATTTTCAAAGAGGCACAACATTATTATTATTTTTGGCTAATACAAAAGTTTGGGATAAATTCATTTTAATAAAACGACAGCCAATCCAAAACACTTTGCAATAAACAGTTCCAAAATCATTGTGTGATTGTTTCTTTGAAATTATGAAAAAATTAGCAATTAGGTGAAAAAGGACTACCAACTTTATAGTTTGGTAATACATGCAATAAGTGATTCATTATGCATATGGTTCCTTGAAACGAACTGTTGAGCCGCGGAATGAGTCGGACCTCCTCTCCATCACTACCATCCTATCCTTCACGTTTCATGGCTGCCAAAAATACTTCATTTCCCAGCGATCCCTGTACGCCTGAGGGAGGCTTCCCATTGGCTGAAGTCCGTCACGAGTTGTTTGGGTGTAGTTACGGAAAGATGGCAGCTGACACAGGCAGATACAGGAGCGCTGTCTCCAAAAGCAAAGATCCCTCTGGTTTGCTTATATCTGTAATAAGGTGAGCACGATATTTTTACAATGTCTGTGCCGGCCAGCCTGATTTTGTCTGCGTTAAATCTTTGCACCTTCTTTTTGCGAAGCAAACGACATGAATGGATAACCGGTTAAGTTAGCATGTTTGCTAACAATACATCCTGTTGTTATTCTGTTATATTGAACTCTTTCTATTATGGATTAAATAACAAGCACTACTTAAGTGGCTTTACGTCTCATCAGCTCAAGTTTATAGTTTGCTGTGAGGTCCTCTGAGTGACAGAATTTGCAGGCATACTTAACTTACTGTAGGAACTTGTTTAAATGGACTTATGTTTTGACAGGACTGGCAGAGTTTCAAAATAGAGACTGTGTTTCAAAACTTGGTAAACAGCACTGTTTGAACATCATAGACGCTGTCTGAATATTTGTTTTGGTTGTCAACATATAAATAATACACATAACAACATACAAGAACAATAACATGGAAATACAACAATAGAAAATTGGTCCCACTTTATGTTAAGTGTCTTTAACAACTAGGCTATGTACTGACATTTAAATTAATTTGATACAATGCACTTATCGTGTGTATGTTTTTACATTGTACTTATATTTAATGAACTGTTATTAATCTGTAATTACATCTATAATTATATTTACGTCTTAACCCTTTCCCTTGAAAAAGTAAAGGAATTATTCTTAATTATTCTGTAATTTAGTTACAGTTACTTCTTATGTAATTGACTATACAACAATTTTATATAAAAAATTGTGGATTTAACATAAAATGTTAATGTTAAAATGTATGTTTTTAATGTAACTTTCTCCCTTTATTCACTCAAGTTCAACAATAATTTATATGCAATTTGTATATTGTTTATTTGAAAGAATCAAATGTGCAGTTTTGTGTCTGCCCTTGTATTGTTCAACTGGTCTAGGTTGATATGGGATTTGGAAAGTATCTAGTAATAAGTAATGCAATACTTTTTAGAGAGAGTAATTATTACAGTAATCTAATTACACAGTGTTGAAGATGTATTCGGTAGCTAGTAATTAAATACTTTTTAGAGTAACTTACCCAATACTGCCCGTATCCTACCTCAACAGCAGCAAAAGAATTTTGCAATACAACATAAACACAATACAATATATTTTTTGATATAAGTGCATTATAGTTAAAGAAATCTAAAATAAAGTTGAACCATAAATCTTATAAATTACAGTGGAAAAAACACTATATATAAAATGTGATGTTAAATATATAAGTAATATATTTATAGATTTGTTCCAGTCTTCACAGTTTATTTATTTATTTATTTATTTTTAAGGCCATTGAGAAAGCAGGGAAGAGTCTATCATGAAGACAGGAAGTTCTTGTACATATAGACTTTCATTGCCTTGTGGAACATGTGACAGATCCGACTCTGAGGAGCCCAATTTGAAGCCCTCATGGTGTAACGTTTCTCAGCTGATGATAGATGGCAGCCAGAACCCAATATAGTGTGCTAAAGTAAAGTTACTGCCTAACTGATAATGATAGTTACAGTGCATGACTGTTGGTAATGCCTGGTTGAGTTGTAATGAACTTTACTTGCTTACATAGATTAAACGTATTTTCTTCCATCGAGCCCAGTTAAGCTGATAAGGTGTCAGAGATCCATCACTCTGCTTCACGGTCCTTTTATCGCCATTTTATCCCTCAGCCGTTTCCATTAGGATGTCTTCAGGGCAACCCATTGGGGTAAAAAAAAGAGTGAGTCTATGGGCGGAAGCTATATCTACATGATCTGTGCTTCACTGCGAGCTTGAAGGGACCATTCCCTACTGAATAGAAAACTGGCTCTCAGACGTTCCTTCTATATCTTTATGAGCTCCAGAGACTGGAATGAATGTAATGAGTTCTTTTGGGAGATTGTGCTGCCTTCCTTTACTCTGATTTAAAGCCACACCGCAGTGGAAATGAGTTCAGAACAGACTTTGCGAGCTGAGCTGTGACTGGCAGTCTGCGGACTTGGACACTCGGTGGATTGGCATCGGCCCCAGCGGGTCTCTCTGAGTGGGTGGGCATCTGATGATGGATTGTGGTGAAATTTTGTTGCGATGGCAAAAAATCCAACAACATCTGTCTGAAAGTTTGTATCATAATGATGACAGGATGAGCTTATATTGGGTGCAGCCTTGTCTCTGGCGTTCATGCTGTGCTCTGTAGAAGTGTATTGCAGTCAAATTGAAATTTTCCAGTATCAGAAATAATAAGAAAGCCTGCTCAAAAGTGCATTGGCATGGTTTTATTTCAGTTTGCCTAATAGCTGGTTTGATTTGCATTGAGAGATGATCTTATGGAAAGTGCCCCATGATGATGTGGGGCTATTTTAATTCCAAAGGCCAAGGGAACTTTATCAGGATGCATAGTATCCTGGATCCATGAAATAACTGGCCTTTAAAAATATAAAATCTGCCTGCCTCTATGGGAATTTAACATAGGGGTGTCCTGACGTATGCACCCTGTATTTTAAGGAAGAACATTTATTTATTTACGACGATACATTATTCATTCACAAAGAAAATCGGTGTCCTTAAAGGTTGGAGTTTTCCTCATTTTTTAAATTAAGACATTAAGATCAATTTCCAAAAGATTATTTTTTATTCCTCTTTTTAGTCAACTTTAGCATGGGTGTGTTCACTTATGCTAAGCACTGTATATGTGTGTGTGTGTGGCTATACCTTTTTGCTCACCAGCCACTGTGGCTAGTGGTTTTCTAAAGTTACTAGCCACTCAGCATTTTCACTGGCCACAATGATACCATGGGGAAAAACTGCCATATAGATATTTTTAATATTATCTCATAATGTGGTAGCAGGTATATTAGGCTGCTGTCACTTTAAGACCTGACACAAAGATGCATTATACTGATACATGCATTTTCTTTCTCAAATGTTTACGTTCACTCAAAACATATGTGAATACTCGCCAAGACCAGAATTTTGACATTATGTCGTGTGTGTTTGACTGTTTATACGCAATAAGCATCACAAAAGAACTAAATTTAGTACTGAGAGGCTGCTTCATGTGGAAAATTATGCACAATACGCACAATCAAGCCCTGTAACACCAACAATATTCATCCGGAGCCAATATTCTATTCTGCAGAAAATTAGTAGGCTATTGGAAGCGTTTCAGATATTTCAGTATCGTTATGTATGAAACATTTTTGATGCATATTACTATATATACGTATAGTTTGGTGATGTAGCATATGTTTACTATCTTTCGTTCAGGACACTGTCCAGCAGTGATGACGTGCAGGACCGAGAGACGGAGAAGGGCCGCCTGGAGGAGGCCTATGAGAAGTGTGACCGAGATCTGGACGAGTTGATCGTTCAGCACTACACAGAGCTCACCACAGCCATCCGAACCTACCAGAGCATCACTGAGAGAATCACCAGCTCTCGCAACAAGATCAAACAGGTGTGCCACACATTAATCTGCATTTGAAAACTCACTAATAACCATGAATGTATGTTTTAGACCGTGGGTTTCAACATTTTCCAGATCAGGGACCATGTTCCAAGACTCAACCAGGGACCTCCTGTATAATAAAGCTAAATTTCACAATACATTTAATTAGCATTATATACACTCACCGGCCACTTTATTAGGTACCCCATGCTAGTAACGGGTTGGACCCCCTTTTGCCTTCAGAACTGCCTCAATTCTTCGTGGCATAGATTCAACAAGGTGCTGGAAGCATTCCTCAGGGAGTTTGGTCCATATTGACATGATGGCATCACACAGTTGCCGCAGATTTGTCGGCTGCACATCCATGATGCGAATCTCCCGTTCCACCACATCCCAAAGATGCTCTATTGGGTTGAGATCTGGTGACTGTGGAGGCCATTTTAGTACAGTGAACTCATTGTCATGTTCAAGAAACCAATTTGAAATGATTAGAGCTTTGTGACATGGTGGAAGTAGCCATCAGAGGATGGGTACATGGTGGCCATAAAGGGATGGACATGGTCAGAAACAATGCTCAGGTAGGCTGTGGCATTTAAACGATGCCCAATTGGCACTAAGGGGCCTAAAGTGTGCCAGGAAAACATCCCCCACACCATTACACCACCACCACCAGCCTGCACAGTGGTAACAAGGCATGATGGTTCCATGTTCTCATTCTGTTTACGCCAAATTCTGACTCTAACATCTGAATGTCTCAACAGAAATCGAGACTCATCAGACCAGGCAACATTTTTCCAGTCTTCAACTGTTCAATTTTGGTGAGCTCTTGCAAATTGTAGCCTCTTTTTCCTATTTGTAGTGGAGATGAGTGGTACCCGGTGGAGTCTTCTGCTGTTGTAGCCCATCCGCCTCAAGGTTGTGCGTGTTGTGGCTTCACAAATGCTTTGCTGCATACCTCGGTTGTAACGAGTGGTTATTTCAGTCACTGTTGCCCTTCTATCAGCTCGAACCAGTCTGGCCATTCTCCTCTGACCTCTGGCATCAACAAGGCATTTCCGCCCACAGAACTGCCGCTCACTGGATGTTTTTTCTTTTTCGGACCATTCTCTGTAAACCCTAGAGATGGTTGTGCGTGAAAATCCCAGTAGATTAGCAGTTTCTGAAATACTCAGACCAGCCCTTCTGGCACCAACAATCATGCCACGTTCAAAGTCACTCAAATCAACTTTCTTCCCCATACTGATGCTCGGTTTGAACTGCAGGAGATTGTCTTGACCATGTCTACATGCCTAAATGCACTGAGTTGCCGCCATGTGATTGGCTGCTTAGAAATTAAGTGTTAACGAGCAGTTGGACAGGTGTACCTAATAAAGTGGCCGGTGAGTGTATATGCTTAACACATTATTAATTGCAAATGTTGACATTGTCACAAATATTTAAGAGCTATATGTTTTACATAGACTGCTGTTCAAAAGTTTGGGGTCAGTAAGATTTTTAAAAATGAAAGAAATGCCTTAAGGCTGCATTTATTTGATCGAAATTACAGTAAGAATTGTAATATTATGAAATATTATTACAATTTAAAATATATGTTTTCTATTTGAATATATTTTAAAATGTAAAAAAGCTGAATTTTCAGCATCATTACTCCAGTCTTCAGTGTCACATGATCCTTCAGAAATCATTTTAATAGGCTGATTTGCTGGTCAAGGAACAATCCTTTTTATTGTCTATGTTGAAAGATACTTTTCAGGATACTTTTATCAATAGAAAGCAAAAAACACCCCCAAAAAACAGAACTTATTTGCAATAGAAATCTTTTGTAACTTTAGAAGTGTAATTTATGTCATTTTTCATCAATTTATTTTGCCCTTGTATGTTTGGTTCTTTCAAAACCAAACAAATCTTACCAACCCCAAACTTTTGAACAATAGTCAATGTTCTCCACAGACCCCATGGAGTACCTTCAGGGACCCTGGTTTAAAATCCCTAATTTTAGGTAGCTGCACAATGAGTTAGTTATATATTTTAAAACCATAGGCACGTACCTGCCAATCACACAGTAATACATCTTCATGCTGTCAGTCTGTTTGTTTATGGCTGATTGAAATAACTTCCTCACGGCACATATATTTATTTTCTTCTGGTCAGCAGCTGGTGGAGATAAAACGCAACTGCTGCTTTGCTTTATAGCCCACATAGTTCTGTAATAACATACCAACACGTTAACACACACAAACTGCATGCAGTCTGATATAATACTGGCTGTAATACCCAGGGAATGATTTATAAGACATAATTAGAGGGAAAACAAAACACTGTAGCAGTTTGACGCAAAAAGGGAAATTAAAAGCAAATCAACAGCTTTTTTTGTGTTGTTTTTGTGCTTAATCTTCGCTCTCAGCCATGCGGCCTGATAGGTCGTCCCTCAGGCTTCTGGTGTCAGGCTTCCCACACGCACACACACTCAAACTTGCCTCAGAGAACATAGAGAATAGCAGTTCTGTCTTCATGCTGCTGAAGTATTTGATGAGAGGTGCCAAGGGACCTCCAATCACCATCTTTACTCATTATTATTTAAAGACACAGGTGACCGAGTTTGTTTATTGCACTCTTGAAAGATGTGTTTGAGTCAAGGACTCAAAAAAAACGTTTCACTGTGTCTCAATTTGCGTGTGTGTGTGTGAGCGAGCGCAAGTGGGAAAACGGAAGACATAAACCCAACGCAGCCAATAAAACCTCAATGTTTGTTTATCCAGCTTTGGGATTTGTTCACGTTTGTGCATGTTTTGTAAGCTCTTTTAAGAACATTAAAAATGAACTAATTACTGCTTCCCACGCCACCCAAAACAGGCTCCGAAACATGGTGAGCCATCATAAAAGAAACATTAGACATCACTAGTAATTGTCTTCGATGTCTGAAATAATATCCGTGTAAATTAGCCACTAAGCTTGGGTTTTAATCTACTGCGAAAATGTTTGTTTATCATATTCTCCCCTGCTGCTGACACACTTGAAAATAATTATGCAAAGAAAAAAGAGCAGCGAAAGGAAAACTGGAAAGATGATGCTTGTTTCATCAAGTGTGAAGGGTCTTTAACTGTTTCTCTCTGCTTAGGTCAAGGAGAACCTGTTGTCCTGTAAGATGCTCCTCCACTGTAAGCGAGATGAACTGAGGAAGCTGTGGATCGAGGGTGTCGAGCACAAGCATGTCCTGAGCCTGTTGGATGAGATCGAGAACATCAAACAGGTTCCTCAGAAATTGGAGGCGTCTATGGGCAGCAAGCACTACCTGTACGCCACGGATATGCTGGTGAGTGTATGTTCGTGGATGCCAGTGAATACTGTGTTGGTATGAGAAATCTCAGTCCTTCCATGGTAAGTACATATTAGCTGATTTTTTGTTTCTCTAGCTTGTACCCATATATATAAAAATATAAAAATAATTATAGATCTTTACCTTGAGCTTTGCACTCTTAATAGTAGTGTTTCAACTAATTTCATGATGTGCATTTTGGGATGCTTGAGAAAGGGTTCTTCTGTATACAATAATTACTTTAATTACAATAATTATACAATATAGTACATTAATTATATATTGCACACATTAATTACAATTACAAAGTACTTTTATTTTTTAGTGGAAGAGCGAATGAACAAGACCTCGCTATTTAGTTCAATAAAAATAAAGTAATAAAATGACACTTTTTTGTTAATATTTGTGTTAAGAAATCCATAGATGGGCAATAAAATAGTTGGCTATATATATATATATATATATTTTTTTTTTTTTGTGTATAACATATTGCAAACATTACATGATATTTCAGAGAAATTATAAAGAAACTTAGCCTTTTGATGAAAAGGTCTTTCACACTCAAACTTGCCTCAGAGAACATAGAGGATAGCAGTTCTTTTGAACTTTCTGTTCATCAAACAATCCTAAAAATGTATCATGGTTATTAAGCAGCACAACATTTGTAAATATTGATAATAAGAAATATTTCTTGATCAGCATATTAGAATAATTTCTAAAGGATCATGTGACACTAAAGGCTGGAGTAATGATTCTGAAAATGTTGCTATCACAGGAATACATTTAAATTGAAAATACATGAAAAATATAAAGCAGTTTTTTTCTTAAATTGCAATAATATTTTGCAATATTATTTTTTGTATCAAATAAATGCAGCCTTAGTGAGTATGTGAGGCTTCTTTCAAAAAACATTAAAAACATGTATCGACCCCTAACTTTTGAACAGTAGTGTACTGTATTTACTTTTTTTTTTTTTAAATATCAACATAGTGGAGAGTGACATGAAGTTATTTAGGAGAGTGAGAGTGATTTGTTTTTTTTTAGTGAGAGGGGAGATGGTATCAAAACTGCATGGTGTGTCATGAACATGTGCTCTAAACACGGCTCCAGTGCTGATTAAAAAACTGGCCTATTCAGTTACCCAATTCTGGTCAGGTGATTCATTCCCACTGACTACATTAATCAAAGCTCATGGGCCCAAAACATCAAAACATGGACTTCCAGGTGTTTTGTTTTTTTAGATTCTTGGTTTTACTTTGTGTTCTTTTTCAGTGTGTGTTTGTTTAGCACATTTTTATCAGGTGTTTGATCACACTGTTTCTCTGGGTACATTCACACTCAACAGGGGAAATCAGTGAGTAGCGGTGGTCAGAGATGACAAGCTTCCATCCTCCTGCTCTCTCAGGTCCCTCAGGTGGTGTTCTCCTCCTCAGAGAGGTTCTTCTCCTCCTGTGTGTGTGACTGTGTTAAATCTGACAAGGAGTATTGGGACTGCCAACAGAGATTACGGTGTACACGGTGTTTCAATTTGCAACTCTTGTCTGGAAACACTGTCCCTCACTTTTCTGTGTCTGTTACACACACACACACACACACACACACACACACACGTGTCGTACCTGTCAGTCAACTTAACTTCCCTAGTGTGTGCTTTTCAGATGAGCTGTCATTCATTACCTCACATCTGTTGAATTGTCCCTTTCCTCTCTTTCAACTTTTTACTTAATTCTGTTTGTTTCCTCTTCCCTTTGCTCTCTGTATTATTTTCATGTTCTTCCTTTACTCCTTTCTTCTACGTCTTCTTCCTTTACCATACTCTTCTTGTCCTTAATTTTTCCTTTCCTTTCCTTTCCTTTCCTTTCCTTTCCTTTCCTTTCCTTTCCTTTCCTTTCCTTTCCTTTCCTTTCCTTTCCTTTCCTTTCCTTTCCTTTCCTTTCCTTTCCTTCCCTTTCCCTTCCTTTCTTTTCCTTTCCTTTCCTTCCTCTTTCTCTCTGTACTTGGTCCTTTCCTCTTTCTATTGCTTTCATGTCCTTAACTGTTCTACTTTCTCTCCTTCTTCTTTGTTCCTTTCCATGTCCTCTTCCTGCCTTTAACTATTCTTCTTTCTCTCCATCCTCCTTTACTGTCATTTCACGTACTCTCTCTTAGCCTCCTCATTTTCTTCCCTCTCTCCTCTCCCAAAGATAAAGAGAATTATCTCAATTGAAAATTGAAGTGTCTTCTCAACTAAACCTGGTTTGGCAATAAGACATGTAAACAGGCACACTTACACATACTCAGAATGAGCCCGATCATCTGATCCTGGTATACACTGTGGTTCATGCAACCCTCATTTGCATGAACAACTCCTTGACTTGCATGACCCCTTCTCTGTCTGTCAGAAGCGGTGCACAAAGTGCGCAGTGATGGCCCTCCAGAGCACTATCAACAGGCCATTAGCTTTCCTCTAAATAATACAGCACATTCATTCACAGCCATTTTGATTTATTTGCTAACTATAAACAAGCAGTAGCCACTGCAGGATCATTCAGTGCTGAAGGAGAGGAGAGGTAAAGGCAAAGAGATGGAAAGACTAGAAATACAAGTTAATGCAGTAAAAAAAAGCAAGAGAGAGTGAGAGATTTAAAGAAGGATGGAAGGAATAAGGGAAAGGTTGCATAGAAGATCAAGGCTCTGGGACATGTGAGCCAGGTCAGGTGAATGAAATGAGGAAATTGAACTTATCAACCACACAAATGCTTCAGATTCATTTTGCAAATGCGACAGCATGGCAAGTAGCTGCAGATTCAGGACAGCATTAAAGCTAAGCCTGAGGGGACTACCTGGACTCGCGCTCCATGTTAAGTTGCATTTGTTCTTTTTTGCTTTAAAATCCCCTTGCATGCGTGTATGAGAAAGAGAGGAGCAGATGAATACAGATACACAAAACATTTTTTGAACAAAAAAGCCTGATCTTTTTTTTTTAAATTACTTTCTATATCCACAGCCTATTTTCTATAATGTGAAATATATAACATGTATGTACAGTATGTAATATGAATCCATCCATCCATCCATCCACCCACCCACCAATCCATCCATCATTTAGAGATTTTTGAAAAAAGAGAGAGAGAGAGAGCACATTTAGTTTTCCTGCATGTTTTTTGCATCATTCTCTCACTTTGTGTTCACTGATAAGCTCAGTCTCATGCCTCATTCAACCAGCAGCCGCATACTTTATTATGCTCTCTGCAGGATCCACACGCACTCAGCAGAGTGAATATTCAGCGGCACTGCAGTCCACCACGCTGCATTCTCACTATTTTAATACTTTGATTGGACGAGAGTTGTAATTGTGCTTTATCACTGTGGTTTTTGATGGGTGGTTGGGGCATGTGCTATTATGGGATCCTGGAGTGCAGCTAATCTAGGAGGCTTTACAAAAATGGATATACCTGGAACACGATATACCTTTACTACTAGCTGTAAACACACTGGGATTTGGTAGATTCAACCTAACATTCAAAACAACAGATACCAAGGAGACAAAGTAGATGAATAGTCATATTTAATAGCCAACATGCAATGCCCTTCATAAATATTCAGATACATCACATTTTAAAATGTATTAAGTCACTGCAAAAGATGACAAAATATTAAAGCAAGTTAATATAAAGAACAGCAAAACATTTTACAAAAAGTGTAAGATTTAATTGCAACATTTTTTAAACATTTATTTAACTGATTATGTCCAAAATTAACATCAAAAATGTTTGGACACTTTATAGTTATAAATGGACTTTATTATCAACTGTCAAAGTTAACTGACCTCAAACATCCACTACAATGACATTTATTTATTTATTTATTGCAATAAAATTCATTCACTTTTAAGTGTGGCCAAATATTTTTGATATCATATTAAGTAATATAATGTAATATATTATATTATACTATATATACAGTAGTCAACATTTGAAGTGGATCAAAAACTTTCATCAAAGTTATACATGAATTTTGAACAACACCCGTTCTTGTCTTTGGACAACTTTGATGAACGTTTTTGATCCACTTCAAATGTTGACTACTGTATACACATATATATATATATATATATATATATATATATGATGTTATATATTTGATATTATTCCCCATCCCATTATTTAACACAGTTATTTATTGTCCTCCATCATTTTTGCTCATAGATATTCAGGCATCTGTAAACTTCAGGCGTGCTGTTGTGTTTGCAGGTCTCAGCGGTGGATTCTCTTGAAGGACCCCTGTTGCAGGTGGAGGGTCTCGGAGACTTGCGACTGGAGCTCCACAGCAAGAAGCTCAACATCCACCTGGTGCTAATCGACGAGCTCCATCGACACCTCTACATCAAGTCTACTAGCCGCGTGGGTCACCGCGGCAAAGACAAGGACAAGGGACGGTGAGCTACAGTAACGTGCTTCACATTTGATTGGGCAGAGCATGCAGTTTGGCAAAATTAGAGGCTAATTGTTTGATTTCAAATCTAGCGTCAATTCAAATCAAAGATTATTCAAGATACACCGCATCACTTTAAAGATATGTTGGCTCAGTATTGGACCGAAAATAATATTACAAAATGTGAATTAAAAACCTCACTCCAAACTTTTGATTCCAGTTGTGGCAGTAAACCGAAAGCAATTACCTGTGGAGCGGCAAAGTCATTTCTCAGCTTTAGATTAATTTACCTTCGCAGGTTGCTGGTGGCAGGGCGCACAGCTCATCTAATTACTGTGTGTGTACTTTTTAAAGAGAGAGACGTGCTCTCTTAAACCAAACATCCCATGAGCCACTGCTGTCTGATCATTAATAAGGGTGTGGAATATGCCCGACAGAATAACTGATCAGACTAATTAAGAATCCAGGGGCCTGAATATGGGCCAGAGCTGGTGTAAAACCCCAGCTAGTTTGACATTCTGAATAAACTTTAATTAGTCAAAGGGGTGACGCGTAGAAAATGTGTCACGCTTCTTCTCTAAAGTCTGTTTCTGAGTCTCAGCACAGTTCTGCTTCACGTAATTAATGACAGGCTGCTGACGGGGTGATTACGCTATTTTGAAGGGAAACCACAATATTAATTCTTTATTGAAGGCTTCGTTCTCCAGGCTCTTAATTCATTAGCTTGTTGGTAAACAAAGCTTCCCTGGCCCTGTTGCATCCTTCTCACCAGAGTCGTGTAATTAGCTGATTTTGCGAGTGTTCTCTTCCTGTCCCTGCGTACACAGGGCCTGGCCGCCGTGGCACTGATGGCGGCATTCAGCACAAACACAGATAAGTCATTCACACCCTTGTGGATGAGCACGAGAGGAATGATAATAGGTTTTTGCTTTTCTCGATGGCGACAGGGCCGCCCACGTGCGCACGGTCGCCGGGGGACTGCTGACCCCCTCCGTCAGCGTGCCGTGTGAACCGCCGCGGCTGCCTCTGCAATGCTAATTCTCTGAGATTAGACAAGGCGCAGCGGTGTAGCGCATTAAGCTAATGCAGGTTGGTGACCCCCCCAGTGCTGAAGTGTGGAGTTGTTTGTAATAGCGTTTTTGATCTCAGAATTGTGCGTCCATGTTTGTCGCTCTTCCACCGCTCTGTTTACGGCCTTGTAATTATAGCGCGACGCTTTCATGAGGAGAAGCGATTTATTAGTCAGGGTCATGACGCGACTGCAATTTTCCGGCAGGGTTTTTATTCATTCCGTCTCTCTCGTGTCTCGCAATCTGCATTGTTTGATTCTTCCTGTTCTGACCACTTTAATGGAAATGTTTTTGCGGACAGTTCTCGATTATTTTCATAAAACATTCACGGCTGCTCTTGTTATGAATGCTTAAACAATAGCTGCTGTCACTCTGAAAATGGTTTCTGTCGTGAAGAAGGAAATAACAGCTCATGTGTTTTTTTTTTTTTTTTTCAGGTCCATTTCAAAGGACACATCTGTTTTGGATGTCGGCGGTTTGTCCACTCCACGCAAGCTCACAGAACCCTCACAGTTCTGCACCCCGGGAACATCCAGCAGTAAGAACCACCAACAGAACAACAGATATGACCAGACACCAAAGCAACCCTCATGTGTAAAGAAGAATGATTTGGAAGTAGTGCGCCACCATACATAGTGAACATTTGTGGCTGAAACCAAAGCCAAAACTTCTGGAAACACTGGGCCAAAAACCAAAACTAAAAAATAGAATTGTTTAGAATAACTGCATATTCTAATATTGTAATATTTCTACAGTCAGGAAATGGTACTATTTATAAGGGATGCAATATAAGTGAATTGAATATAAATGAAATAATTATACATATTTTTTATATAAAATAATAATAATGTAAATATAGAACAAATACACATTTACAAATGCAATAAAATTAAATATAATTGACACATTTAGTTCAGTTATATTTAGTCAAGATACAGACTTCCTGCTTATATTCTCTTTTGGCCAAAACGTTTTTTTTTTGTCCAAACATTTTCAATAAGCGAACTTTTGATATGATTGTGAAGACGAAAAAACAAAACAAATTGACTATTAGACATTGAAAGAGAGAAATAGAGTGCTACTTTTGCAGAGAGAGAGCGAGAGAACGAGTGAATTAGAACTTGATTTAGTGGCTCATAATTTGAATGATGGATTCCTCTCTGCTGTACTAAAGGGAACAGTGGGTGTCCGGGGCGAGGGATGAAATGATAGCGAGGGGTGATTTTGTTGGGCCTGGTGCTCCATATCGTCTGCCAGTGTTCAAAGTGCCAGTTAAATCATTAGGACACACATCTGACCAGTATCACTGTGTCTATTAATATTGCACTGGGGGCTGCCACAGATAAGAAAAGACTTGCAACTGTTGCTTCCTGTATGTTACTGAAAGCAGTGGCATACACGTACTCCTATTATACATACTTGGAGAAGGTCATTGTAATATACACACACTGTTTCGTTGACATACCAATTTTCTCTTTTACAATTATACAGTGACTCACACTTTCACTTGCATGTACCTCTAAAAGACTTGTCTGCACACACACAAGAACACACTCTCTCCGGTTTCATGATCTCAGTACATCATGTTTCAGTAAGCATATTAACCGGTGCAGATGAGATCCTCTCTTACGTTATTAATCATGCAGCACTGTCAGCACAGCGGGGGTGCAGGCCTTGTTATCCGTGCTCTCCTGTGTGGGGCCGACTCCACTGTGAGCTCTGAGACTGTTATCAGTCCCACTAACCCACCCACAGCTGTCTGTTTCTGTTTCTCCTACACTGTCTCTGACATGCTGTCACTTTTCAGAACAACTATTGACAACCCTATCTATCCATCCATCCGCCGTTCCATCCATCCATCCATCCATCCATCCATCCATCCATCCATCCATCCATCCATCCACCCATCCATCCATCCATCCATCCATCCGCCGTTCCATCCATCCACCAATCCATCCATCCATCCATCCATCCATCCATCCATCCATCCATCCATCCATCCATCCATCCATCCATCCATCTATCCATCCATCCATCTATCCATCCATCCGCCGTTCCATCCATCCACCAATCCATCCATCCATCCATCCATCCATCCATCCATCCATCCATCCATCCACCATCCATCCATCCATCCATCCATCCATCCATCCATCCATCCATCCATCCATCCATCCATCCATCCATCCATCCATCCATCCATCCGCCGTTCCATCTATCCATCCACCAATCAATCAATCAATCCATCCATCCATCCATCCGCCGTTCCATCCATCCATCCATCCATCCATCCACCAATCCATCCATCCATCCATCCACCAATCCACCATCCATCCATCCACCAATCCATCCATCCATCCATCCATTTATCCATCCACCAATCAATCAATCCATCCATCCATCCGCCGTTCCATCCATCCACCAATCCACCAATCCATCCATCCATCCATCCATCCATCCATCCATCCATCCATCCATCCATCCATCCATCCATCCATCCATCCATCCATCCATCCATCCATCCATCCATCCATCCATCCATCCATCCATCCATCCATCCATCCATCCATCCATCCATCCATCCATCCATCCATCCATCCATCCATCCATCCATCCATCCATCCATCCATCCATCCATCCATCCATCCATCCATCCATCCATCCATCCATCCATCCATCCATCCATCCATCCATCCATCCATCCCACTTTAAATTAATACTTACACTTTAATTGTTCTTATTTGCTGTGATTTTGCTAAAGCAGGTAGAAACGTCTCTAATTCACACTCAGAGCCAGAGTAATTCCTGCGTCGCCTGCAGTTTTCTTCACATTACACGAAACGCTCGCAATTATTGCTGTCGCAGTGCTTTATGTGTGATAGGGTGACGCCATCAGACAACATTTCCCCTGCTGCGGAAGACGCTTCCCTTTTGTCGCCTATTTTGTGTAATGGCCTTTTGCACATCATTTGTCGGTGGTAATTGTAGTAATTATTTAGCAAGCTACAGTTGGGGGGATTGAAGAAGAAAAACCTGAGCCCATTAACTTGCCATAAACATTAAGACCATTTTAAACAGTCATTGGTTTTGAGGGTATTAGCTGACAGAAAAATAAGCACTTCACTGTACGATCACTCTATTGAGCAGGTGAATATGGAGAGGTGTGTTATGCAGGTTTTTAAGGAGTGTGCTGATGAGAAGGGAGGGGATGATTATGAAATGTTGAAGCGTACCACTGAAACATTGTTAAAGATGACTCTAAAAATGTGTTTAAATTGCAGGCGTTGTAGGTTCAAGTAATCTCAATGTATATATGTTACAATATGTATTTGATTATCAGTATATTAAGGTTAATTTACGTTAACATTACTAACCTTTTTATCTACAAAAGCTCTCTAAGAAAAACTTTATAATAAATTAAATGTAACAACATTATAATATATAAATCTTAACAGATTGTTAGCACATTTAGAACATTCAGAATTATTAATTGATATAATCAAATTTGAATGTACATTAGTGACCTTTAAATAGTTATGTATTTAATGACTCAAATCATATTGTACAGTTTTACTACCAGTTTTACTCTCTGTTTGCTATCATGGTTGCATGTATATTTATTTAGCTGTTCCATAAACCATTGTGTCAATTCATGCTGCTTCAATTATATATTGTTGTAGTGTTCTTCATGGAGTGCATGTGTGTTTGTGCAGTGCAGGAAATGAGAGAGGACCTGGAGGTGGACCCAGAGGAGAACAGCGCAGGGTTCATGGGGATCCTGATCAAAGCTCTGGCCAAACTCAAGAAGATCCCTGAGACCATTAAAGCTATCATGGATCGTCTTGAGCCTGAGCTCAAGCAGATCCTCAAGAGATCCACCACTCAGATCGCTGACCACGCATACCAGAGAGGAGAGAACCTGGCACAGGACAACCAGCCCAGGTAAAATATAATGGAACGATTGAGCTAGTAGCATCAATTAAAAGTTGCTATCTGCCATGAATATCCATAGTTATACTTTACCACACTACAGCTGTTTCCTAGTTGATTGATTTGATTGATTGATTTATTGGTTGATTGGTTGATTGATGAATTGATTGATACAATATTGTATGGTGGTTAAAATAAAAAGACAAGCACAACAAAAAAAAAATCGGCGCTTATAGAACAAATGATTAGAGACATCATTCAAACAACTCAAATAAATTAATACAAATACACAAATGAACACTGGGAAAAGTGTGAGTCTGAAAGTAATTTTTTGTTTTGTTAAGACATATGTAAAATTTGTGAATCTTTTTGTATATTTCCAAACCTCATAGTATTTATTTATTTTTATTTCATTCATTTATAAATCTATTTTCTATTTTTGAATTTAATTATGAAAAATGCAACCACGTAAATTAGTAGGAAGGGCAGATCTTTCTTTATGAAAATCATAATTTCTGCATATATGAGACACAATCTATTCTTTTCAGCTCCTTAAATATGCGCAGCCATACTGAATATGTTCTCAATGGCTTTTCGTTTCAAGCATCTGTTGTGTAGACGCTCATTAAAGACAACATAACACTCTTTACTTGAGACATTTGCAATTTTTCTAATGCAACTGTAGATGAGACTTGATTTTAGCAATTGGCTTGTGATTGGATCATGAAAAATGAAGTGTTAATCTATGATATTATTGGTTGATTTTTATTTTTGCCTGCCTACATGGCCTTGATTACATCAAATCAGGAATGTTTTGATGGAAGATTATTAAAACAAATTAATATATTTACATTAACATGCACCAACAAATCATGCACAGGGCTAGAATTATTAATTAAAATATGTCCTTAAATGATGTAGGAAATAAAAACTGCAGATGACAGTCACTTTAGACTTTCAGTTCTTTTAGTTCTCCCTCTTAAAGTGGTTTTGTTTTTAAGGGAATGCACTTTGGAAGGCATTTGTACTGAAGTGTGATTGGTTTTCATTGTTTTCCTTCTTTATTGCGCTCTCTCACTTTACCCGATGATGGCTCGCTGGATCAATGCACTCATCTGTCATGTGGCATTCATACCTCCCTCATTTCCAGAAATGGTGTAATCCATAAAAGCGAGCCACGGCCAGGGTCTGCTTAAGCATCGGCTCTAACAGAGAAAAACAAAAGCAACGGAAGAAAAGACCGATAATGAAGGCTTTTAAAGAAACGCTCTTTACCCAAGGCAAAAATGAACTCTCAATCACTTATTTTTTCATAGCTATTCTCTGGGATTTAATGTTTGCCCTCCTCATTTCTCTCAGATGTGAGCTTCCAGTTTGCAAGTGAATATCCACTGAATTTTCATTGTGTGCTTTTAATGCTATAAACTGGGGCTTTTCTTTGAAAGCAGTGACTAATGCTGGAAAATATCCATTCATCACAAACTCATTTGAGAAATGGTTTTGTTGGACCTATGTGTGTTTCATCTAAATGTGCTAATGTATCATACAATGTAATTACCTTGATAAATAACACACAAAGCACTGCCGAATTAATATGGCAGTTCATAAATCTGTTTCCTGTAAAAGGCAAACCAGCTGAAAACGTCCAAATGACCTGAGTGAAAATAAGGTCCCATTTTAACCATAGAGCATTTTCAGTGTTTACTTGTGTGTCTATGTCTGTGCTAACTTGAAAGTTGAGGTAGGGCTCTGTTTCTATGGAAACCTCAACAGAAAAAGGAAGTCACTGCTGCATTACAGTTCACAGTGAAAAATGCCTTACACAGTGTCCTAACCAGGCATGATGTTACAAAGGCTACATTCACACTGCAAGCCTTAGTGTTCAATTATGATTCGTTGCTCAGATCCGATTTATTTGTGTGTCTGTTTGAGTGTGAACTGGTCACAGTCCTGAACTGACCCGCATGCAAGAACAATAACGAAGAACCATGCAGCACGCTGTCATAGATGTAAACATGGAGGCCACTAAAGTTAGCGTTAATGCGTTCATTTTGGGTGAAGCCAGGGAACTTGTGCACAGCTGATAAGGAGGATGCAGACGAGGATGAGAAGAACGAGAGCAAAGTTTTTCTCGTATAGTTTTCGCTCAAGTTTTGTTTGTATAGAGCTGTCATCATAATACTTATGAGTATAATAGCTCACTGTCCCTCTACTGACTAACTTCACTGTTGCTCTCACTGAGTGACCAAAGACCTACCCATATTTAACATTTTTGGAGTGGAGTGATCTAACATGACGTAAAAGTCTCATGAATGCAAAATATCAGACCTGTATCTGATCTAGGTCCACATATGGAAGTGGCCCAAATTATAATCGAAAAGATCAGATACATGTGGTCTGCGCTCTTCACATGTCTGAGTTGCATATTTATTTATGTTATACTTTTTTAAAAATATGTTTTTTAAAGAATATTTGTCAGAATATGGCCATAAATTAAGAAGGATACTTAGATAGACGTCATGATAGTGTCGTTATGACATCTACCAACTGGTCCATGCCAAAACCTTGTCCCCTTGGTTCATATGTGTTTGTGTAAATAGGTGTGATGCTTTGGGTTGGCTTTCTGCAATGTTTGTATGATGGAGTGTCATCCTGTATAATATATGTTTACATGCTGAGTCTAAGTCAAGGGTTATGTCCTGTCCTTTGTAAATCAAGCTTAACATGTGTTATCATGCACTGTCTCTCACGTGAACATCCATCATCTTCCTGTCTTCCACTCCCAGCAATCGTTATACCCTACATCATGCTGTCACCTCCAACCTCTTCATTCCGCCTATCAGGGTTTTCTTCTGCCTCACTATACTGGGATGAATGAGTAAACTCCACAAAAGTCAGACAGATGTGTGTCCTCCTAGTGGACCCAGAGAGTTTGACAGATGCTGCTAATTGTTGTTGGTGAACAGCTGGCGCTGCTCAACAGGGAGACTCTGTCAGCACCCTGCTGCTGTCATGTTCATTAGTAACAGAGAATGGACCGCTTTTGGCTCGGTTTTGGTGATGTGGAGGGATTTATAACAGACAGACAGACAGACAGACTGACTGCAATAGTGGCTTTGTCTTGGAAAGTTTTTTTTTTGAGTTTTCAAACTGGGGTCCATGGACCCACAAGGGGGTGCTGGGAGTTCTGCAAACAAACAGAAAAAAGAAGAAGAAAACAAACGTTTGGTTTGCAAAATGTACATTTTAGGGCTGTCAAGGTTACTAACTCAATATATCAATGCAAAAATTCTGATAATTAAAAATGATGAATGCAATATTTGTTAACTGTCAGTCTGTCTGTCTGTGTCTGACAATAGCTTGTATTTGTGTTTCTCCTTGACATTGCTGCATTTGAGCTTGCTAATATTAATTATTTTTTCATCCATTTTGAAGTTTTTCTCACTCTATTGCCCTCTACAGGTTGTTGCTGGAACTGCTCGAGCTGTTGTTTGATAAGTTGAATGCAGTGGCCCAGGCTCACAGTGTGGTTCTCCGTCACCTACAGCAGATTGTCGTCTCTTCCAATGGAGCCCAGGAAGGGATCAAACTCTATGAGCAGGCGGATGTCTATGCCAAGATCCAAACCGTCCTACAGGTCAGTTTCTGGAGAGACATTTCATAGAGCAGATCCAGGTAACTGGGTAATATATTTGGAATCTGAAAGATTGCAGTGAAATATATCCACTATGTTAAAATTGGGTTTTGCAAGAGACTATTCTGACTATCTATGGCCTTGCCACCACACAGCAACGTGTTAGAAACCATTACACTGACCTTAGCTACTGCAAATCTTTAGCATAGAATTCATAGCAACTCCTTTGCAACAAACCAGCTGAGAAACCACATGCTTATTTAAAGCTGTCATTTAAAACAAAACATACTATTAACTGATATTTACTAGCTGTATATTTAATTACTGTTATAGTTATTAGATGTTTCATGTGTCACTTCTGTAAAACGGTACAGGTGGAGAAAGAATGTGTGGCTGAAGTTTTGTGAATAATCCACATAAACTCATCCCAAGTGCTGTGTTTAATTGGAAAATGTTGTATTTTAGTGTGTATGTGTGTGCTTGTGTATTTGGCAGAAGACTGATGGGCAGGTGAGATCACCAGCTGTTCACATAAACTTTGAGAATCTCTCAAGAGGCCCAACATTTAGTGTCTGTTTGTGTGTTTGAAAAGTACCCGCTGGAAATCCTGGAAGGTTTTTATTTCGTGTGATTTGAGTGTTTACATTTCTTTGCATTCATATTTCTTTGTTGGTTTTTCTGTGAAATGGAGTAAACTAAATGACAAAATTATTTTTTGGAGCTAGAAGCTCTTACTAAAATTATAATTAAGTCAACAACAAGGATAAAAATAAAATTGATTTCATGGGAGGGGAAAATGCTTCCCAAAACATGTTGTTGTTGATTAGATCAAATGTAGTTTTTTTTTAAACAAATTTATTTGTACGGCTTTGCTTTGTTTTGTTTATTTTTTTGCAATTGAGTAATTCTTTTTCAGAGTTACTCCAGCCTTTCTTGATTCAAGAGGCAGTTTGGATTCATGATTCACTAGGTTCACTAGTTCAGTGCAACAATCACATCTTGCTTTTCTCTTAACAGTAACCGTAAATGGAGAATGATTCTTCTGATGGGTTATGCAATATTGACTCGCATATATCTAGAATTATTGTGCTCAAGCAGTTTTAAAACCATTTTAGGGACAGATGGTCAAACTAATTGAAAATTCAGATTCAAAGAGGTTGTAAAAACGAGACCTCATAACCTTTTCATGTTCATATTATTCTCTGAATTTGTAGTTTTTCTTCCCTTTAAGAATTTCATCTCTCTCCATTCTCTCTCTGCCTTCTATCTCATTGCATGTGCACTCTTTCAAAGCATTATTTTTCAGCTGCATGCTAGGGAGGATCCAGTCATGCAGTAGAGACAGGAATCAGGGGAACGAGGGAGGGAAGGAGGGAAAGAGAGATGGGAATGGTGGTGCAGCTTGGGAATGAGTAAATGGGTTTGTCATCACTCCATCACACAGGGTGAAGAGTCAGACTGTGACCTTGTACCTTCCTCCTGTATTTTTTACTCCTCCTTTCAAAGCCGTCTGCAGAGAGCGGTAAGGAAAGAACAAGCGGGCCCTGCCAACTGTTGCTAAGGCCCGCTGAGCTCCTCGCAGACCTTAAGTAACGAGGACCGTCTTTCTGAGAGGTGAATATGGAAGTCAAAATATGCATTTAACTGCCGTATGATGAGGGTGTGCATGTGCCGTATCGACTGCACTGCCTCTTTTTCGGCATTCATTAGCACGAGAACCTTACGCCTTTGCTAGCAACAGATTCATTTGTTTATATAGAGCCTTTGCTTCAACTTGTATGCTGCGTCTGTAAGCTTAAAAAATGTTGCCTTCAAAGGATGCATTCTAAGATCGGAAGGCATCAAGGCACGTCCGAATCTAATGTTAGCTTCACCCCCTGCCATCCATCCATCCATCCATCATTTGTTCGTTCGATCGGGGTTGGTACGATTTGTATGCTCACCAAGACTGCATTTATTTGATCACATTTTTTTTAAATGCAGTAATATCGTAAAATATTATGACCATTTAAAATAACTGTTTTATGTTTAAGTCCCCCATATTAATTTGAAGACATATTTAAGACATCATTTGTGATCATTTGAGACGGATGCATGGAAATTGTTTCATAGTTTTTGTCTTAAACAGGTAGAATGATTTACAGCAAAAAATGTAATAATCAGGTGGTCAAAATCAAGGAAAGGCAAAAAAAAACGAAAGGCAACAGGATAGGGAAGTGTTCGTATACTGCAGAGTCATCTTAGCTTTGCTGAAATAGATGATATTAAGTGTTCAGTGTGCTTCGTTGCCCAAGCGGGCTGCTTGCCAGGGGCTGCGGAGTCTCCCGTGGTCACTGCGTGAGATAATGTAAGCTCTTGATGAGAATCTTCATTAAGGTAGAGGAGGTTTTTCTAATCTCTTGTCTTGATCACATCACCAAATCTCATCTTATCTCTTCTTCCCTTCACCTGACTGCGACAGTGTTTTGTTAGTTTAGACTGGTCCATCATAAAAATAGATACACAGCATCTTCTGAAGACATGCAGAAAAGCTGCTTCCTTTCTGTTTTCTTTTTGGAATGAAGAATGTGGGAGAGTGAGGAAGAGTACAGTGTCACACTTTTCTCTGTCCTTTTTTCTTTTTTGTCTTTCTGTTTTCTGTTCTTTCATTTCATTTTTATAATTGTTTTGTTTATTTTGTATGTCTTTTTTTGTTTTCTCTCCTTTTTCTGTTATATTCTGTCCTGTCCTCATTTCTATGTATAGAGTGGTGCAGGTATGACGCCACTTTGTAGGCCAACCAGCAGTTAGCATCACACTGGTTCCCTAGACAAAAACCATAGGCTTTTGGATTATGGGCAAAAACAAGCTCTGTGATCAACAAAAGTTTATGATACTTGCACGTTTTGTCCACCAAGATATGAATTTCTTTTATGAATTTCGAAGCCTAAATGCAGCTGCCAGAAGTAAAAAGCTAAAGGTAGGCTATAAACGAACTACACCATGGTCCCACGAATTCAACGTCACCATCACTAAGCTTCCGACAACTCTTTCAGTTTCTATCTAAAAACATTTTTCCCAGAAAGTTCGAGTTATAATAACGGACTGTGCTTACATTTTCGGCGTGATGATGTTTGATCTCCTCGACAGCCTTTGTAGCCCCATTTGTTAGCAAGCGCCTTTTTCAAGACATGTACCAGCTTCAAGAAATCACGAGTGGGTTAATATTGATGTATTTTAAGTTGTGTTCACAATCACCACAGACCTTATTTCAGCCATTTAACCAAAACCCCATTCAAAAAACCCATTGATTTCGGGATCATGGAACCGGCTGTGCTCTCTTATTTCCTTTTTTCCCTGTTCTTTTCTTTTTCTTGTTTCCTTTTTCTTTTCTTTTTCTTGTAATTTTCTTTTTCTGTCCTATAGTTTTCTGTTATTTTCTGTCATTCGTTTTTCTCATACGGGGACACTCTTGAGTTCTGGTGTCAGGTGCTGATTGCGGGACTGTTCTCAGGTGTGACTTCCGCAAACTTCAGTCTCAGGTGAGAATGATGGTCCCGCCATCATGCACTGATGCACCCTGATGTTCTCTTGTTCTCTCTTAGGTGTAGATGAGACCCCTGTGCACCCTTGTCTTTCTAGCTAGCTTAATACCGAACTTTTTTTTTTTTTACCAAGTTTCCTCTGTTCCTGGGGGAGAAAGGAATTACATTGACCTTTCCATTACACTGAAAACATAAAGGCCATGGACAGATGGACCTGACATGTTATAATCTTTATTTCTTTCAGTTCCTGAATCTTTGAACTGTGGCTCGGTCATTCTTGAATACAGCTGAGCTAAAGTCCGTGAGTGTTAGGATCCATATTGAACTTGTAAACCTGGTTCATAAAGGACCATGCAGAGTTTTTTAGGAGTGTGTGGAGTAAATAGATATTGACTTTTTGAAGTGGCCGTTGACTGAAATTTTTGCCGCTGACAGACCAATCCCAGATTTGCCCTAGCACATAATTTAAATGCCACTGAACAAGTGACAAAACTGGCAGTAGTAATTATAAATATGTTTTAGAGGTTCTCAAGTGGTTTTGCCATAGGACCAACATTTTCCTATAGTCGAGCCAAATTTTTAGGAATTTGAACCAAGCAAATGTATTTTTTTTTAAATGGTTGACACACACACAAGCACTTTACTTGACATACGCATAAATTGTATGAATTTCACTAACACTGATGAATAAACAGTATAAGGTAAGGCTATTAAATAACAAGCCCTAAACTATTTTTTGTTAATATAATAAAGTTAGGAAGTGAAAGTGAAAATAAAGTGGTATTTTGAGTTAAGGTTACAAACACTGTTTTATGGTTGTGTGATAATGTTTTCTTAAATTCATTCTATCATCCCTGTGTGGATATTGGTATTGATATTGAATAGATATTTGACTTTTGATTGATTTTTTTATATGATATTGAGTTTTCTTTTGAAGTTGCTGTTTTTTAGGCTGACGGAACAATCCTAGATCTATCTGAATTATTGATTATTTATTATTGATTTAATATTGGTTTAATACAATATTATTGTTTAATATTGTTTTGATAATGCTTTCATACAGTAAACTTAATTATTGCCATGATTTTAGTCCCATCAGATATTGGTATTTATATTTAAGAGATTTATGATTTTTGATATTGAAGTGGCTGTTGACATTTTACTTCTTTTTTTTTTGGTCGCTGACAGACCAGTCCTGGATCTTAATTATTCATTATTGGTATATTTAATATGGTCTTGATATTTAATGATTTTTTTTTTTTTTTTTAAGTTTACTTAATTCTCACAGAGGTCCAAGTCCCACGCTCTAGAAACGGTATCCCATTGTTAAGAAGATAAAAATGATGGCACTAGTTGCAATCTCCCTCTTTGCGCTGCATTACTGTCCCTCCCCCTAAGCCTCACGGACTTGAGCCTGGGAATGATGGGTAAGAGGGTGAAGGGAACAAGAGCGTGAAAGGGGGAAAAAGAAAGGAAATT